TTTATCTGTACTATTCAATGTGTTGGCTTACACACAACCAACTGTAGCTCTAAACTGTCCAACTTCCTGAAACTGACCTGGTGCCCTCTTTATGACAACAGACCAACCTTAGACTAGGACCTAGGACACCTGGATTGTGTAGTCCTGGCTGGACATTATTTCCAGATGACACCCACAAAGAATAATATTTGTCCCTCAACAATGTTATTGGGTTATTGTTGGGATGGAGATCACATTTGTAAGGTGTCTAGTAGAAATGATATATTTATTATGTAGCTGTAGCAATTTCTGGGAGTATTTAAAGGAAGTACCATAAAGATGAAAAAAAGACAGAAAGCTAATTCATAAGAAACCTGTGCATCTATTTGATACACCTTGAGAGGAAAAGACCTGCATTTTCTGAAGATGGCAGTATTATCATTTCTTTATTATCCTTGGTTAATAGGGACAGGAATATCAGTGTAAAATCTATAGACAGCACAATCTCCTTTTCACTTTTAAGAAAGTACAATCTCTTCTACTTTAACTAGAGTTGTTAACAAGAAAGTAGCAAGTATGACTGAAGTTTTGCTTCTTTTTCCTTCCCTTGCCCTCCCTCTGGTGGAGGTGCTAATGAGTGAATTGGTGGAGGCTGGCATGAGAGGGGGGAAAAGAGTAAAAAATCAAAAGTATGCATAAGCTCTAGATTAGATTATCAGGCCCTGGAAAACGGAGGGTAGTGGATTGTGGTCACCAGATTCCATATTGAGTGGCCTGTCTAGAGGAATTTATTCCTATCTAGTTTGCTACACTCATAATTTACCTTAGTAAAAATTCAAGCATTGTTCAACATTTTATTGATTGCATGCCCAGAAAGGAAACATCACCCTCCTGAGTTGAAGTTAAAGAAAATTGTTTCTTTAAGGGATATCATTAAATTATTAATTTTATAAATTTTTTCCCAGTATCTGAATACAAATATAGTTGAGTATACTTATAACCTTATTTTTGGAAAATTGAATCACTTCCTGCCCTATGGGTTGTTACAATAATTATACCTTATTTTTATAGTTCAGTGCCTGGCACATAGTAGGCCATTAATAAATGCTTGTTTACCTGACATTTAATTTTTCAAAGTGTTTTCACACCTATTATCTTATTTGATCCTCACAACAATCTAGTATGGTGGGTAGAGCAAGGTATTATTATCTTCATTTATAGGAAAGGACAAAGAGGCCTAGAGAATTTATTTGTTCAAGATCATACCAATGGTAGAAAGTAGAATCTAAGGGAGTGCCTTGAAGACCTTTCTCTCCTTTCCACTCCGACATGCTACCTCTGGGTGGAGTTGTCTTTGAGGGTTTATAATTTGACCTGTGGAGTTATCTGAATCTATACAACAATGAACTGTCATACTGGACTTTCAGATAAAAAAGCCTTTGGAAAATTTCTTCAAGAGCTGAGCCTAAAACCTTCTTTAGTCATGGGCTTCATCTCTATCAGACCTACTATCCAATAGAGTAGTAGGGTGATATTAGTGGAAAGGGCATGGGGTTAGGAGAGATTTGGGTTCAAATCATAGCTCTGACACTTTTTCTTAATCACAACCTCTCTGAGCCTGTTTCCTCATCAAGAAAATGATAATAATGCTGTGAGAGTTGAACTATAAGGAAAGCTGAGTGCTGTAGAATCAAGGCTTCAGAATTGTGGTGCTGGAGACTTCTGAGAGTCCCTTGGACAGCCAGGAGATCAAATCAGTCAATACTTAAAGACATTAATTCAGGCCATTCATTGGAGGTGAAATACTGAAGCTGAAGCTTAAATACTTTGGCCACATAATGAGAAAACTGGATTCACTGGTAAAGACCTTGATGTTGAGAAAGATTTAAGACAAGGAAAAGAGGATGGCAGAGTATGAGATGAATAGATAGTGTCACGGAAACAACAAACATGAACTTGGACTGACTTGGAGAGATAGTGGAGGACAGAAAGGCCTGGCATGCCATGGTCCATGGGGTCATGAACAGTGAGACACAACTGAACAACAACGCCTCCAGGTTACCTTCCTCTCAGGGTTCTAATGATTATATGACATAACATGTCTAAAGTGATTTGAAAACCTTAAAGCAATCCAATGATCATTTATTAAGCACCTACTCTGTGTTCAAAGTACTATGTGCTAGATCATAGGGACATCAATAAAAAACTAAAACAATGCCAGCCCTTAAGAAGCTTCTATTTTCTGGGTATATATGGAGGGGTGTATGTGTGGGGACAAGGGGGCCAACACATATAAATAAGGGTTATACAAGGTAACTGGAGAAGGAAGATAACACTGACAATTATGAGGAACATGGTGAATCAGGGAAGGCTTTAAGAGGGAGACTGTCACACATCTGACCTCAGCCTTGAAGGAAAACAAAACTTCTGAAAACTTCAGAGATGAGTTAATGCTGCTTTCCAGGAATGAGGAATGGTCTGTGCATAGGAAATAAGAGCGTCAAATTTGGGAAACAGCCGCTATGTGAAATTTGCCTAGAATATGAAGTATGTGAAAAAGAGTAATAAGAAATAAGGCTGGAATACAAAGAAGTTTGTATTTATCCTAGAGTCAGTCGGGAGCCACAGAGGTTTAGGAGAAGAATAACATGGTCTAACATGTGCCTGGGGAAAGTAGAGAGGGAAAGGACTATTTTTAAAAGCATGGCATAATGGATATAGAGAGCCACCCTTTGAGACAGAAAAACCTGGTTTCCAGTTTCCTCTCTGGCACATACCCCCTTGTAACCCCGGCCAAGTGAACCTTAGTGTCCTGGGAAACTTTTTAAGATTGTAAATTGCAGAGTGTCAAAAATGTAGGTCCAATAAAAACAAAATCCATCTAGAAGTCTTTATGCATTTATGTGTCGTGCTCTCCAATTTTCACATTTGCATTCTTTTCTTAGAGAGTAAACCATTTCCTACTCTGTAAAACCTGAAACCCTGTTCAAAACTAACCACCAGGAGCATGTTTGGTGGAGTGGTTCTTTTTACCCTCTGAATTTGCATTTGTGGGTGGTTGCTATCTAAGTATTCTTAAATTGTCTATTCCCATGTTGTCTCCAGCTATGCCAACTGCCTTTCTTTTTCCTTTACATCTTTCTGCTCCATGTTGCATAGCATTTGCAAAATATTACCTCGTATCTGTAAAATGGGGATAATAATAGCACCTACCAGACCAGGCTGTCTCCAGGATCAAATGAGAAAACATGTAAACGGCTTGCATATTTTAAAGCACTGTATGCATGCTACCTATTATTATTTTGAATATTACTTGGATCACAAAGGATGCTCAAGTCAATGTTCATAGCATCTTTAAACTATGTTGGGGGAGGAAACTTCGGAAGCCATGCTCTTTCTTTAAAGCTCTCTATACATGTTATCTTATTACTTTGAATATTGCCTGATCACAAAGGATACCCAAGTAAACATTCGTAGGATCTTAAAATTATATAACTTCGAGGAACCTTGGAAAAATCTTTATTTTTTTTTCCCGATGAGGAAACTGTGGCCCCGAGAAGTTATGATTTGTCCAAGGTCACCCAGGTATGAGAGAGAGCAGAGACAGAATTCAAATCCAGGTCTTCCGACGGCAAATCCCGAGCTGCTCTCCTAGTCGGGAGGTGACACTATTCTTTTGTCTCTGATCAAATTATTTACTGTTTCGCTGACACCCCGAGAGGACACACAAGTGCAAGGGCGGCAGACCACAATAGAGGCCAGCCCCGCTCTGGGAATGCGGTGGGGTAATTTTATCAGAATGCGGTCTCTCCAACCAGCCCCGGGGGAGATCTGAAATCTCCCGAAGCACACAGACCCAGGCTTAGGGCGGGGTTCCTTTTTGTTATCGGGAAACGTGACCCCTGGCCAGCAGAGGAGGGGGAGAAGAGAGAGAGGAGGAGGAGGAGGAGGAGGAGGAGGAGAAGGGGGGAGGAGAAAAGGGAGGGGAGGGGGAGGAAGAAGGAAGGGAGAGTCGGGGCAGCCGGAGGGTGAAGAAGCAGATAGACAGAGCCCAAGGCTCCTCCGCTGTGTTTCTCCCTTTTTCTCCCGGACCAGAGGCAGAGGCAGCGGCTGAGACACAATAGCCAGCAGTGCCTCTACACAAGGGCAGATAACAATGACCCAAGCCAAGTCAGGCCCCAAGAGCCAGCTAGCGGGCGGGGAGGGGCGGAGGGGGCGTGGCCACAGCCCCGCCGCCTCCGCCGTTGTCTGCGCTGGAGCCCCGCCAGGATCCCCCACGGGGAGTGGTCTCTCCGGTGGGGGCGTGGGTGGAGTGGGGAGGGGAGATAGAGGAGGAGGGGGCGGTGGCTCTTCCTCCAGCTCGGCTCCTCTCGCGAGGGGCGGAGCGTCGCCCCCCCTTGCAGGAGGAGAGCCTCCCGATTGGCTCTCGTGCTCCTCATGCTTCCTCCCCATTGGCCAGTTTGCAGCGGGAGATGTTGGGAGGCGCGGCAGAGAGGAGGGAGCTGCCCCGGGGTCTGCTCTGAGGTAGCTACAGGGCCGAGGGGTCGGGATAAAAGGGGGCTTAGGTTGGGAGGGAGACGTTGCCTGGGCGGCTGTGTTCCAACCTGGGCTCTTTTCGCTTTTCCCTTCGGTCCGGTCTCCTCACGACTTAAATAAAATTGGAATAAATACCTTTTAGCCCGCACCCGAGAACACTTGGGGAGGGGACACACCCAGGCGGAGACCACCCGAAACCGCTCCCGCCAGGGCCCGCACTCCTGGAGCCCGTGCTTGTCGCCCGGCCCGTCCCCTTGGCTCCGCCAGTACCCGTCCTCGCGGCACTCGGGCTGCTCCGTCGGGCAGGGGGTGTGCCGAGCTCAGCGGGGAGGACCGTATTATTCCAGACACACATACACTCACTCACTCACACACGCACGCACATCGCGCTCACGCACAGAACCAGCCCTCGAGCCTCCCTTGGGGAGGGGAGGGGAGGGGAGTGGGAGGAGGTGGATCCAGGGAGGAAGAAGCGAGAAATCCGCCCCCGGGAAACAATCCGCGCGGCGGAGGAGAAAGCCACTCCTGTCACTTGGTGCGAGCGGGGCGCCCGAGCGGGCCCCCCGGCCCAGCCCGCCCAGGGACCCCGGAGCCCGGCGGCAGTGGCCGCCCCGCCCCCCACGAGACCCGGCCGGGGCAGGTCGTGGCAGTGTCGGGGAGGGGTCGGGGGCGGCTGCTCTGCAGAGAGAAGGCGGCACGAGCCGGCGTCCGGTGCGTGGGGCTGTGGCTGGGGAGGTGGGCGAGGAGCGTGGGGGGGCACGGGAGGGCGCTCCCGGGAGGAGTTGGAGCGGAGCCGCGAGTGTGCATGTGCGTGTGTGCACGCGCGCCGAGGCCGGGGAGGAAGTGGCACAAAGGCCGGCGGCAGCGACGGCTGCCGAGGTGTCCGGCCCGGCCCGGCCCCTGCCGGCCGCCTCATTAATATTAACCGAGCCCGCGGCCTAGCGCTGCGCCGGCTCCCGCCTTCCCAGGCCGGCCTCCGCCCGCCCGCCTCCCCGGACCCACAACTCGGGGCCTCCATTTCCCGGGGGAGGGGGCGGAGGAAGCAGGGGTAGGTGCCCGTGGTCGGGGAAGTTTTTCCCTCCCCCCCCTTTAAAGGTGTGTGTCTGTGTGTGTGTCTCGGCAGGGCTAGAACGGGGAGGGGGCGCCCATTAACTTAGGTAGTAAAACCCGCCTGCGGCCACTCCGCCGGACCCACCCTTGTACCGGGGTGCTTAGCCTGGGGTCGTTGAACTTAACATATTTTTGTACCGTCTTGATCGGTCTGTTTCCATATGATCGGTTTCCCTTGTAATCCCTGTTTTCTGTCTATAATAACATGATTCCCAGAAGGGGTCCAAGGGCTTCACCAGACTGCCAAGAGAGGTTGATGACATCCCCCCAAAGGCTAAGCCGCCAGGGCCCTGGGGGTCCCCACCCGACTCGTTCCCCTCCGCCCGGCTTTCTTTCCACTCCTTCCCCACCCATCCCTGCTCCCTGCCAGCCAAAGAAAACAGCCACCTCCGCAGAAGAGAGAAGCTGCAGTGGGAAAGGGGCTTACGGGGAGGGAGGAGATGGGGGGTGTCGAGAGTTTTAAAGGGTCCTTCGAATTGTGTTCACCTTAATTATCCAGGGGAGGAGGGGGCACCGCACGCCTTGGGGCCCATCAAACGGTCATCCTAATCGGAAGCTTGTTTTCATATAGTCTGAAGGTAGGAAGTGGGGGGGGGAGTTGGAGGAATGGGGGTGGGTGTGTTTGAAAAACATTGCCCTATTTCGGATACTTGGTGGGGAGTTCACTTAACCGTGGTCTCGGAGGAATGCAGAAGATTCTATATTCTGCCCCCGAACTTTGTTGTTGAAATGCCTTAAAAAAAACCCCACACCCTAAATAGTCAGTGCCAGTCTCTGGAACCGCGGGTGTTGGGCTGAAACTGGAGTATACCCCCCCCCAACTTCCCTGGTTACAGGAGCTTTACCTGATTTGTATGATGTTATGGGGTGGGGGGAGAGGAATATATTCAGACGACATCTGGGGCCGGACTAATGCACCATTCAAAGGGTGAAAAGAGTCTTCTTGTCCCTGATTAGGAGAAAGGGCTACCTTGGCTATGGAGAATTTATTCTGGTTAACTTGTTCCAGGAAAGGGTTTCTTTTGGTGGGAGACCTCTTCCTCTTCACACTCCGATTCCCCTGGACTCAGTGGATGGGAGAAAGAGGAGGAGGTGGAAGATGACCAGGTTCTGCAATTGTCTAACAGGGATGGGCAGCTGCTGAAGGGGGTGGAAAGAACCTTACCCTAAGCCTAGACACATCTTTGTTGTTCTCTTCTTTCTTCATTTTTTTTAATCTTTTTTTCTTTTTAGCTATTTTCCAACCAACAGAAATGGAGGAAGACCCAGAATTCGTTTGAAGTCCAAAGTGATTATCTTGGCGTTTTGAAGGTGTTTTTTGTTTATTTTTAAAATATAACAGTCCTGGTTGTCTTTCATTCTCTCTCCCCTCGCTGGGGCTGGATTGGAATTGCATCGCTGTGGGTGTGTGCCTGTGGGTTTTCCTCCAATGTGGACTTCAGAGGATTTGTCCCTCCTTTGTAATTTGAAATGAAATAATGGCGACACGTTGGACTGGTCTACCTGAGGGAGATGGAGACGGCAATCAACCTTGTGGAACACCTATCGAGGAGGTAAGAGCTCAAGTGTAGACCACATAGAGTTTTTCCCCAGCTATTTGTTCGGAAGGCACTGTGAGCGTCTGCAGGGATGCCTCCTATTGCTGCTGCAGCTGAGATGCTCAAAGGGAAAAAGAGTTTGGTTTGTTTTTTTCTTGGATTTCAGCTGATTAATGGCCGGTTCTCGGAACTGAGCCCTGGAGAGTTAAACAGCTTCCCACATTTGTTTCACCGGATTGCCCCATTGGCTAGGGAAGAAAGTTTTCCCCAACTTTCAAGTTGCTGTACTTCGTTTTCCCCAAACCCCAAGTCTTGAATTCCCAACTTCCAGGTGTCTAGAGAGATAAGGCAAGAGAGAGACACCTTTTCCTCCATGGCATGCCCTCAAACCCCACCCCCCTTCTTCTTCAAGGATACTGGGTTAAAGGCTTTCGGGTTAGGCCATATGTAAGTTCCACTGGCAGTCGGAAGCTCATCCCAGGTGTTTGTGTTGATGTGATGTGTTTTTGTTTTTATTTTTTAAGTCTTATATTTGGCTTCCTGCTGGGGCCAGGAGAATACTAGAACGTATTTATCTGTCTGCTGTGGTCTGATTGCTGCTGGTGTAAATTGTCTTTACCTTTGAGAAAACTCCAGTCTTCCACTGAACTAGCTTATAGCCTTGAAAATGTTTTGTAGGTAGTGTTGTCTGTAATCTAGTGCTGTACCTTTGATTATCTCTGAGAACTCTCCAGCTTTTGGTGGGTCTCTTTATTTAGGTTTGTCTTATTTTGTGAATTGGTGTTAGTAAAAAAAATGTTTTGTGTTGCCTATTCAGGCTAGCCTTTTCTGAAGGACGCACCATCAATCTTTTCTCTGCCACTTACGTACATCATTATTTGTAAGTGCCAGGTCAGTCTAAGAGAAGACAGGAAAGGATGCTTGTTTCTTCAGAATTTTTTTTTTTGGTAAATCAGTACTGAAACTACTCACTCTATGTGAACCTAACTTTGAATGTCTTTTCTTCTCCTTCCTTCTTTTCTTTCTTTCTCATATTTTGAATCTATTCCTATGATGAAGGAATTTTTGCTTACTGTATTACTGGAGATTGCTATAATTTGCATACCAAAAGTGCAAAAGATTCAACAAACCTGCTTTATAAAGTACGCCTATATTGTTACCATAAAATTAACTGTTTAACTTCACAACAAAAATAGCTGCAATTTAGTTTAGCACGTGCCTCTCACTTAGTCATTTCTAAGTGCTTTGACTTCATGATCATGTAATATTAACTCTGTAATGAAGCTGTGACATTAGCAAATAACTGCATGAATTATGGCTGTTCTATAAAATAGTTTAAAGGTGAATTTAGTTTTTCATGCATTGTATAGACAGAAAAAAAATTTTTCCCCCAGACTGTTGACTTCATGTTAGATTATCTAAAGTTGTTGTATATTTACTAACCATTGATCTGGTGGAGTACAATAATATATTTGGAGTTGATTTAACTTTACTTCTTGTCAGATGATATTGTTTGAAGTTTACTTTGGGCTTTGCTTCTAGACAACATCTTAAGACACCTGTTTGTAAGTACAAACATGAACAAGACTAAGTACAGTAGTAATGTAATCCTCTGATCGTTGATGTGGTACCATAATAACTCCTTTTGGAATTGGTATAATAGTTTATGTGAAGGCCTACAGCTTGATGATTGCTTTGATATATTTGGTACTTACATAATATGCAGTGTACTCCTAACAGCTTGTCATATGTTTCTAATGGACACTTTAATTAGCATGCTATTCCGTTTATAGTTAGCAACAACTAATTTCAGTTGAATGTTTTTTGAATTTTTTTTAAATAACTCAGCCAAATACCCTTGAAAACAAGATTTATAATGGACACTTCTTGTACTCTTGCCAGAAAGAAATGTTTCCAATTGCACACTTGGCTTCTATTAACAATTACAGTATTTTTTTTTCAAGTGTCTGTGAAATGTCTTAATTTTGATGTTATTGGCAAGATCATATTGTGGCTTGTCTCAGAGAAATTAAGAAAAATGTACTGTCTATTTTTGGTAAAATTGTATTTTCCTTGTTTAGAGGGATCCTGTACACATTCACAGGCTGAGACAACATTTCATTTTTTGCTAGATTTAATTGCAGTGCATTTTTCCTTTTTTAGATGTTCTATTTGGATGCATAATGGAAAGTGAAGCAAAATGGCCTCGTAGTGTGGAGAAGCAGTTAGATATCCAGAATAAAAAAAAAATGTGCACAGATGTTTCATTTAGCTATGGTTTTTATTTATTTTGTGTCCCTGTACATAATAATCCCTGGGAACATTTATAAGTGTATAGGTTTAAAAGGGAATTATTTTACAGTAATGTTGGCAGACTAGGTTGGGTGAACTACTCTTATTATTTAGCTTCTGGCAATCTAATTACGTTCATTGTTGATACCTTAGTACAGAATAAATGTTACTTTTAAAGTGGTAAGTGATATTCCTAAGTTTATAGTTAAATTTATCTGTTCTTAACTGACCATGAAGTAATAACAGGTATTTCTTAATGGTGAGACTGGAATTCTGTAAACCACGGTTGTTAATGTATGTTGGGAGGAATTGAACTTGGACCACAGTAGAAATCAGTGTAGGTAATGTTTCATGCCCTAATTAGTCAACTCCACCTTCCACAAATAAGGTTTATTGCTATATAACTTCACACACTGACAAATTTGTGTTCCCCTTAAGCCTTATACCCCTATCGTATAGGAATGCAAATGGATTTATCACTCTCTACAAACTGAAAATGTAACAAGTCTGATGAAGTAATTTTTATTCACCCATGGAAAAATGGTTCAGTTTATGTTCTGGCAAATTTGAGTTTTCTTATTTGAAAGTATGTGCAAGTGAACCTTTCAAAAGTGTTTGCACTAAACCTGAAGGGCAGTAGTGTTTTCTTTTGGCTCTGCAGTGTAGTCGGTGTAGAATTTTTGTTTGTTTGAAATCTGAACACTGGTTGCCTTTGCTCATGTTCCTCTTGCAAAGTTTGCTGCTACCTTGCCTTCCTTCACAATACAGCTTCGGTCCCGTCTTTGGAAACTTTTCTTCAGCTTTCCATTGCAAGTTATGTTTTTAATGCTATTAGCTGATGTTTGAGAGGTGACGTGTAATATTGGAAAGAGGGCCAGCTTCTGACACATGTGACCTGTATGACCTTGAGCAAGTCATTTAATTGCTCCTGCCCCACCCAAACGACTCTCAGACTTTAAGTTGAGGAGTTGTCCATTTGCATTGGTGCTGGAGTTTTATAGCCCTCCTGGTAGGGGGGAAAAAAGCTTAAAAGTCTGTATGTATAATCTCATTTCATCCTTGTAACAGCCCTGTGAGGTAGGTGTTTTAGATACAATTGTTTCTACTTTAAAGATGAGCAAACTGAGGCTCAGAATAAGTGACTTGTTTATGTTAGAATTCAAACCCTGGCATTCCCAAAATACCTTCTTCTGTCTTCTCTGGCTTCTTTTGCACAATTCACATTTTATCATATGCTGTCCTGTTTTAATTTTTTTTAAACTATAGATATCTTTTCTGTTTTCACATCGCCTTCATTGTCTAATATATTGATTCTCCCTCCCCTTTCCCATAATAAAGAATAAAAAAGGAGGGAAAGAAAAGCTGTTCAGTATATTAAGGACCTGTTGTTTGCAGAGCAATGTGCCAGAAAGTGAGGAAGATATATGGAATCACAGCCTAATAGGAGGATTAGACATAAGCTCTATAGTATGTAATAAAAAACTGAGTGAGGGCGTGAAAGCTAGAAATAGGGACCACCAGAGCAGGGATGTTGTGGCAGAAAGGGGTCCAAATTGGGGGGAACAGCGTATAGGGGGAGGAAATAAGCTAAAAGGACTCTGTGACTTTAGGTGACACTGGACTCTAGAAGGCCTTGAATCTCTGGTGAATTCATTCATACTTTGGCATTAGGGACCCAGTGAAGTTTGTGATCAGAGCAGTGAATGTAAGACAGAAAGACAATTAAAAATTTTTTTTTTGTATTCAGCTAGAAATGGTATGGGGATGTGTTTATGTCTTGTTTTACTATTTCCCTTGTGAAAATACCTGTTTATGCTGAATACTTTTTATGCATTTAGTAATTTATTTGTGGTTACCAGACTGAAGAGGAATTGCTTAAAAATACCTTTGGAAAGGTACTTAATTAATTTTCTTATCAATATTTACATGTCCACTCATTATATAATTAAACTAATGAAGGAGAATCTCATAGTAAAGTCTCCAAGCCAGGCAAGGATGTGACTGTGCTCCTGGCAGCATCTGCTATCTCTGTTGGGAATGCCAAATAGTGGGGAATAATTCAGGCAAGGCGCTTGACCCGATGAGATCACAGTTTCCTCAGTTGTAAAATGAGGAATTCCCTTGAAGCTTGAAAATTCTGTCATTCTTGTGTGTGAGAAGGTGATGGTGATAGGAGGGCCGGCAGCAGCATTGCCTGTGGAATTTGAGGGTATCATAAGGTTTTCAGGAAGCGTAGCTATATGCTGCTCTGTTTTATCAGATTGGTCAAACAGCATTGGTTAAGTGATTACTGTGTGCCAGATGTAGGCAGCTAGTAGAGGCAGCTAGGTGGTTCAGTGGATAGAGTGCTGGGCCTAGCGTCAGGAAGAGCTGAGCTCAGATCTGGCCTCAGACTAGCTGTGTGACTCTGGGAAAGTCACTTAACCCCTGTTTGCCTTGGAGGCAGCTAGGTGGCTCAGTGGATAGGGCGATGGGTCTGAAGTCAGGAAGACATGAGTTCAAATCCAGCCTCAGATACTTTCTGGCCGTGTAACCCTGGGCAAACCTAACCTCTGTTTGTGTTGGTCCACTGGGTGAGGAAATGACAGGAAAACCCCATGGCTAGTATTGGCATGACGTGGTCCACAGAGTCAGGAAGACTCAGAAATAACTGAGCAACTGAACAACAAAATGTACCAGACACTGTGCTAGGTATACAAATAAAGGCAAAAACAGTTCCTGCC